GTGAGTGTGTGCCTGTCAACAAGGGTGATCAGGAAAGGATTACCTTCAGGTAACCTTTGAGTAGAAATCTGGTGAAGGTGAAGTAATGAGCTCTGAAGCTCCTGGTGGGAGAGAAACATTCTAGGGAGGGAAGAAGTGCAAATGCCCTGAGGTAGGGGCATACCTGATGTGAAAGGAAGAGCAATGAGGCTGTTATGACTGGAGTGGAATAAGGAGATGAGGTCACAGAGGAGGCAGGAGAGAGTCAGGGCTTTTTAGGCCTTGTAAGGGGTTTGTCTTTTATTATTTTTTAAAATTTTTACTTAAATTTTTATTTTAGAGAGAGCCTGCACATGAGCATGGAAGAGGGGCAGAGGGAGAAAGAATTTTAAGCGGGTTCCGTGCTCAGCGCAGAGTGCAACGCGGGGCTCAATCTCATGACCCTAGAATCATGACCTGAGCCGAAATCAAGGGTTGGACACTCAACTGACTGAGCCACCCAGGTGCCCCAGATTTTGCCTAGATTTTATCTTTTATTTATTTTTTAAAATATTTTTTAATGTTTATTCTTGAGAGACAGACTGTGAGTAGGGGAGGGGCAGAGAGTGAAGGAGACACAGAATCCAAAGCAGGCTCCAGGCTCCAAGCTGTCAGCACAGAGCCCAATGTGGGGCTGGAACTCACAAACTGTGAAATCATGACCTGGGCTGAAGGCAGACGCTTAACCAACTGAGCCACCCAGGTGCCCCCAGATTTTGTCTTTTATTGAACGGGGTGTAGTGAGCCTTTAGAAATTTCCAAGCAGAGTTAATGATATAATGTGACTTAGATTTGTAATGATCACCCTGCTTTCTTGATAAAACTATCAGAATGGAAACAAGGAGGCCACTTAGGAGGCTACTGCAACAATCTGGGTAAGATACAGTGATGGCTTGAACTGGCTTGGACCAGGAATGTTGCAATAGAAATGGGAGGATGAGGTTGGATTCTAAATATGTCTTTTTTTTTTTTTTTTTTTTTTANTTTTTTTTTTAATTTATTTCTAGAGAGAGAGAGTGAGCAGGGGAGGGTCAGAGAGAGAGGGTCAGAGAGAGAGGGAGTCACAGACTGAAACAGGCTCCAGGCTCTGAGCTGGCAGTCAGCACAGAGCCCGACGCGGGGCTCGAACCCACGAACCATGAGATCATGACCTAAGCGAAAGTCAGACGCTTAACTGACTAAGCCACCCAGGCGCCCCGGATTCTAAATATGTCTTAAAGATAGGGTGAGAGAGAAGAGTCAAGGTCCATATGTAATTTTAGGTCTGAGCGATTGGAAATGTGGCTTTGGGCACATTATGTTTGAGAATCTGTTAACATCAACCAGAGATACTGAGCAAGCAGTTGGAAATATGATTTGGAGGTCAGGGTTGGAGATAAAGACCTGGGAGTCATCAGTATATTAATGCAATTTAAAGCCCTGAGCTCACCTAGTGAGTAAATTAGAGAGGAAAAGAGAATCAAGGACGCCTGTGGGCATTTCAAGGATAAGAGGCTGAGGATATGAGAAGGATGCAGCGAAGGAGACCAAGAAAGCATCCATGAGGTAGGAGGAAATCAAGAAAATGTGATGCAAAGGAAATGAAGAGAGTGAACAATGTCAAGTGATGAGAACTGGGAACTGACCATTGAATTTAACAATGTGGCTGTGTGGATGACCTCGACAAGAGCAATTTTGAATCAGAAGGAGGCGCCCTGATTGTGGCTGATTCAAGAAAGAATGACAGGAGAGGAATTGGGACTGTTAGTATAAGCACCTGTTTTGAGGATTTGTTCTAAAAGGAATTGGAACTGTTAGTATAAACACTTCTCTCAAGGGATGGAAAATGAGGCTTTTGCTGGAGGGGGATATGAAGTCAAGATATTTCTTTTGTTGTCAAAGATGGAGAAATAAAATGCTGTAAGTTTATGGGTAATGATGGAGCAGAGAGAAAAACTGATGCAAGAGAAAGTGGGAGAGATTGAGAGAAGAGTTCAAGGAATCCATTTCAGTAAATTTGTATGTATGTATGTATACAGAGATTTCTCTAGCTAGATTCTTAAGAGGATTTCCTGAGTCAAAGGGTATGTACATTTAAAAAATCTGTACCAGTTTATATTCCAACCTTCATTGTATACCCTTGCCAACAGTGAACTTTGCTGATCTTTAAAATTATTGCCAGTCCAATGGATGATATCTTTTTTAATTGGTAGGAATTCTTTATATAATTGGACTAGTCCTTTTTTTTTTTTTTTTTTTTTTTTTGTATTCTGGCAAATATTTTCTCCCAGGCTCGCTCTTGCCTTTTAAATTGGCTTTTGGTATACTTTTACCATGTGGACTTTTTCCCAGTTTTTATGTAGTTAAATCTGTCATTTCCTTTTATAGCATTTGGGTTTCATTTGGATTATGTAAATATTTTATATAATCTTTTAATAAGTTTATACATTTACCTTTTTAATTCATCTGGAGTTTATTTGTGTGTGTTATGAAATAGGTATCTAAGTTTCCCCCCCTTTTTTTTTTTTTTAATGCGTTCTTAAACAGTTAGTTATATACTCTAAGAAGTAACTGTTGCTTAAAAGTTTGAAAGAAAATACCTATATCTTCTAGGCTTGGAGTCTTTTTGAAGGGTAGATCTTTGATTTAAACATTTTTTCCCCCTGTGGTTAATGATCTTTTTGGTTTATGTACTTCTTTTTAAGTTAATTTTGGTAATTGATTGTTTTCCCCCAGCACCACATTCTTTTCATCCAGATTTTCAAATTCATTCGCTTAAAATTCTACATAAAGAGAAGAAATACTAAGTCTTCTATGTATTTGCAATGCATCCTTTGTACTTACACCTGTATTTGGGCAGCAGATGCTGGAACCTTTCATAGATCTGGAGATTGGTTTAGCTGTTTTCAGCCCTCATGGCTCAGCTTTTATTGTCCTTCATTTTAGGGTTATTCTTATATTGTTCTCTCTCTCTCTACTCTCTCGGTCTCTTTCTCTCTCTTTGTAGGGGATTTCAGGCTCCTTGGATCTCTTTCCTATCACTCTGGTCCTGTTTGCTCTTTAGCTTACAAAAATTTGTACTGTTGAGGTCTGCTGATGGATACAAGCCCTTCTTGGTTTCCAATGTTCCTATGGACTTATTTTTCTATTCTGTCATTTTGGAGAGGTTTTGTGAGGGAGGAGAGGGAAATGTAAATTTTCAATTAGCTTTTTGAAATAGGAAGTCACAATTTCTTCCTGTGGAGTTTTCTTTTATCAGAGTTCTTTGTTTAATTGCTGGTTGCACAGCAGTTAGAGCGTAACTTTACAGCACAAGTAGTGATCGTCAGTCAGGTGGACTTCACTTTTTTTTTTTTTTTTTTTTTTAAATTTATTTGTAGGAGAGAGAGAGACAGCGTGAGCAGGGGAGGGTCAGAGAGAGAGGGAGTCACAGACTGAAACAGGCTCCAGGCTCTGAGCTGGCAGTCAGCACAGAGCCCGACGCGGGGCTCGAACCCACGAACCGCGAGATCATGACCTAAGCGAAAGTCGGACGCTTAACCGACTAAGCCACCCAGGCGCCCCTGGACTTCACTTTTTTTAAGTGAAACCATATGTCTCAGCAGAATATACTTGTTGAATAGAAATGTTGATACATTGTCACTAAATATTCCAATAGTACTTTTTAAATTTAAGTGACATGGTCATTATAACATATAGGGACTTTACAGATCATTAGACCAACTATCTTATTTTATGGATGAAGTATTTGAGTCCCAGAGACTTTCAGTGATTTATCTAAGGTGACAAAGTCAGTAATCAAGCAAGACAGAAAGCCCACGTCTATTTACTTCAAATCTGCTATGCTTTGCTATTTCACACATTCTTGGTGGTTCTACTTAGCTTTGTAATATGGAAGAGGTTATTTTCAGCTAATAAACTTTTTTTTTTTTTAACCTAAAGATGTTACACATGTCTTGGGATTGCTTCTAAAATTGGGTCTTGGGTATCATATTAAATGCCATGATGTGGATTTTGTTTTTTCTCATATAGATCTTATATATTAAGATATAAATGTGAATTTTAAAAGACTGGGCTATCAAGGTATACTCTAGCCTAAATGAAAACCATTGTAGTGTATTCCTCCCAAGTTTCCTCTTCTCTGCTTGTAGACTTTATGTGACATATGGACTCTCTGAATTTGTTATTAATATTTTAAGCAGGCTTAAAGAACATATATGTGTGTATATATGGACTTAAAATGATTTTAGTGATAAATATCATAAGATATTTCAGACCAACGTTTTCTAATTTTTGAGTTTAATATACCATGGTGCCAGCTCAACATCTAAATTTACAAGGGCTGTGGGTTCCGTGGTGGCTCAGTCTGTTGAACGTCCGACTTCAGCTCCGGTCATGATCTCATAGTTTGTGGGTTTGAGCCCTGTGACCGGCTCTGTGCTGACAACTCACAGCCTGGAGCTTGCTTTGGATTCTGTGTCTGCCTCTCTCTCTGCCTCTGGCCTGCTCACACTGTCTTTCTGTGTCTCTCTCAAAAATAAACCTTAAAATTTTTTTTTAATTTAGAAGGGCTAAAATATATATTTTTGCTTTACTTGTGATTTTTTTCAGCAAACATAGGGATAGGATATACTCATACTTTCATTGCTTTGCTTGGTTTTTAGCTTCTACAGAAAGTTTTTTAAATGTAGGACTTTGATTTTTGATAATCCATGTTTGGTGGTCATGTCTTTTATTCTTGAAAAGCATTGAGTCTCTAATATGTACAGCATTAGTGGACTTCGGTGGTTTCTCTTTTCTCTTTGCCCACCTCAAACAATTTGAGGAGGGGAAGTTTGAAGGTAGTTGCTCTAGAAGTATATTCTAAGAAGATTTGTTTAATTATCTTTAGGTTTTAACTCTTGTAGCACTTTTAAATACTTGATATGACCTATTGATTTTGCTTTTGTAAACTAAGGAGCAATTTGTCTCCCATGAATTCTAAGAATTTAATTTTTTTCCAGTTGGTCATAATGGCAGGTGAAGAAATTAATGAAGACTACCCAGTAGAAATTCATGAGTATTTATCAACATTTGAGAATTCCATTGGTGCTGTGGATGAGATGCTGAAGACCATGATGTCTGTTTCTAGAAATGAGTTGTTGCAGAAGGTATTTTAGAAATGTAATTTATAAAACAGAGTGCTGTCTTATGAAAACATATAGAAGAAAACATAGATTAGTGACGTGCTCCTTTTCCCCTTTATTCCAAGTGTTTGGGTACTTTTAAGGGGAAAAAACAAACCAGAACTCCAACTTTAGGAAATACTCACTGTATTTTTATTTTGACGTGGCTTTGAGAAAAAAAGAGCACTTACAACATTCTTTTTGACAGATTCTATCTTTGACCTTTTAAGTATTACAATGATGTTATCAGAGTTTCTGGAAACCCTATAGGACAAAAAGAGTAAATTGACTTTGACAGTCTAAAACAAATCTCATTATGTTTCTTCTGCCTTTGGTATTGCCTAAGCATTTTAGCCTGTCTCTTATACATAAATGCATCATGTACAATGTTTATATTGATAAATTACTTTTGACATACAAAGCCCAGATCGTAACTCCTGAAATTAAAGTAATTGGAAAGAATTTTTCTTGGATTACACACATTCTTTGTCTACTAAAGATGATACCTTAAAGTGAAAATTTGTGGGCAGAAATCTCTGGTTAATAAAAATTTTTCTTTTTGCAAATTATTTCAAGATCATTTGGTTATTGGGTTATAGACAGTGAAAGAAACATCTCTTTGATACATTGTATTTGATAAAAGTTTAAAATATGTGATGGTGCTTATTGTTTGTATGTATTTTTTCTTTCTCACTTTTTTCAAAAACAGTTGGACCCCCTTGAACAAGCAAAAGTGGATTTAGTTTCTGCTTACACATTAAATTCAATGTTTTGGGGTATGTATATTAATTTGGAGTTAATTAGAAAGCAAATTATTATGTCAAAGGTAGTTTATTTAAATGCTAGCAATTTATATATAGTTATAGTTTATGGCAATTTTAATTGTCAGATATTTATTTCTTTTAAATCAGAATACCAGATGTCCATGAGCCACATAAAATGTAATATTACAAAGAGGTTAAATAAGACTTAATTTATCATTTTTTGTGATATTTCTTTTTTGTGAGTAACTAGAGTTTTGTTAATGCTCTCAATTAATATATATGCAATTTTGTTCCATGAAATCTTTGTCTTGTAGTTTATTTGGCAACTCAGGGAGTTAATCCTAAGGAACATCCAGTAAAGCAGGAATTGGTAAGATTGCAGCGGTTTTCTTTTTATTTGACTGTTTGTTGTGGTATTCCTGAAGTCAGAGTACCTTTGTCACACTAGTTATGAGAACAAAATTATTTGGAGTCCAAATTATGAAAGTGAGCCAGATTTCATCATGTCTTTAGTGTCTCTTTTCCTTGCTTTTGTCAGAATTTGTGTTCCATATATTATATAAATCTCTGGATGGGAAAATGTTACGATTCAAGTAATTATTTATAACTTCCATATTATTTTTTTCTATAAATTCTTGAAATCCTGTTCATCACTACAACTGCCCGCCCCCTTTTTTTTTAAACTCTTACACAATTCTTAAAAGTATATTCTAGTTGATTTACTAGCAAAGACGGGAAAGTTTCTCCCCCACCTTTTCACTTCTTCCATTAATTCATTTTCTCAGCAGTAAAGAATCCAGTTCAGCAACAAAGCTAAAAGCTTTTTTGGCACCAGTTGTATGTGTACTGTCCAGTAACTCTGCATTAGTGACATATTTACAACCTGTAATAAATCTTCTAGGTTTGTCTTTGTATTCCATTTAGATATATAAGTACAGTATATAAGGTCTAGAATCTTGAAGTTTTTGCTGACTTCAAAAATTAAATCATTCAATATGAAAGAAAAAATTAGAAATCAAACTTATGGTTACCTTCTTGACTTGGCTTTATGAATAAGAACACTAATACATTTATTCTTTGTGTTTATAAAATACAAGGTAAATATGTGAAGTACACTTGACACTATTATTCTCAAGTCTTAAGGTGTTGATATGTATGTTATTTACAACTTACTAGAGTACTTGGTCATTTATTTACAAAAAATGAGTAAACCAGATCTCTTGTCTTCATTTTATAAACATAGGGAGTAAGATGCTTTCTTTTAAAGTTCTTGGGGGAAAAACAAATTTACTTTTAATATAGAAATTGTGAAAAATACTTAAAGCAAAAATGTAAAACAATATGAGGCACAGGTCTTGATTTGACCAATGGTACTGGCTTTAAAATCTTAAGGAGTGTGCACTGTACCATCTGTTTTCAACTTTCTGATATAGATTTTACGTTTATGAAGCTCTTCATTTTTCCTTTAACACAAAGTTATTTGTAGGATTTTAATACATGTTTCTGTCATTGGAAAATCTATCTTTTTTTCTCCAGCAAAACCCACTTATGGAGGAGTACATTCATATTCTGAATGCGGGTTGGCACATAAAAAAGCATACATAAACCTATTCCCCTTTTCTGACCTTGTGACAGACATCACTAATTGATCACAGAGTCAATGTGTGAGAGGAAATCTATTTGTCATGTATGTCATGAATGGAGAAAGGCATTGGAAATAGTTTATTTATTCAACAAATAATTGAGTGCTTACTGGAAGCCAGGCATTATATCCAAGTAAGATGATTCTTCTGTGATTAAAGCTGATAAAATAACACTGCTATTGCAGCAGATGCCAGTCTATCTAGTGGAGGGAGACAAGCATTTAACATAATATACAAATAATAAACATATGTAGTATATAGTACATTAGAAAGTTATAGGTTATGGGAAAGAAATACAGCATAAGGTAAGGGGGATTGGAGTGCTTGAGTAGGATTCCATTTTAAATGGTAAAGGCAAGGCCTGTTAACGAGATTAACATTAGAGCCAACTGGAAGGGAGAGTGGGAGTGGCTGTGTGAATATTGGAGGAAGATCACTACAGGCAAGGCTGGGGTGGGTGTGTGTTGGGAGCACTTGTGCTTTTAATCTGAGAGAAATAGCCATGAGAGGATTTTGAGCAGAGTGGTCTGCCTTTGACAATAAAAAATTCTAGGAATCTGCATTTTTCTGTGTAAATTTCTGTAACTATTTTGATTATTTTAATGAAACTTGCTTTTTATCAGTGATCAGTCATTTACTATGCTATTTTACGGCTCTCATCCCCTTTATTTAAATTTTCCAAAGTATAGAATAGTCCTTTATTCTGATTAGTGGTCTCAGAAGATTCGAAGTGATATGGCAATCTACTCTGTTTTTCACCTTATAAAGTCTGATTAGAATATATTTTTCATCAAAGTATCATATGCTTATTGATCAAAACTATGAAATTGAACAAAAGATCTTGTATTTTCATTTTGCTTATTTTAATTGTGATACTAGAAAGTAAAAAAATAGTTAGGTACTACTTCATCCATTTTCCATTTAGAAAAATTTCCAGTTTAGTTTGTATGCTGCAAATATGAGAGCTTTTTTTTAGATAATAGACTTTAGATACATAAGAGTTATGTGGATTTAGGTTACTGCTAAATTAAAAAATATATAACCACACATAAACAATTCAATGTTTATCTCTGAAGTGATGTCTTTGTCTAGTTCTCCCTGTCTTGAAACATCAGAACACTTCTGAAATGACTTTTTAATGCCCATTCCCCCCAGACTATGAACCTAGGAGAGCATAGAACATGTTTATCCTATTCACTTGCACTTACTAGCACCACTCAATAGGCAATAAATACATATCTGTTGAATTTAACTGAGGTATAGTGTAATAAAACTTAGTGGTGGTGAACAGCTTAGTAAATCTATTGCCTTCTTTTTTTTCTTTTTTCTCTTATCTTTAAGGAAAGAATCAGAGTATACATGAACAGAGTCAAGGAAATAACAGACAAGAAGAAGGCCGGCAAGCTGGACAGAGGTGCAGCTTCAAGATTTGTGAAAAATGCCCTTTGGGAACCAAAACCTAAAAATGCATCCAAAGTTGCCAATAAAGGAAAAACTAAAAATTAGCCTTTTAGTTTGGATGTATACCTATTGAAAAAGTACATCATTTTTATTGTTTTCCACAAGATAGATGATTATGTGCCAATACAAGGTTTAAATGTATTCCTTATTGAATTCATATATAAAATTTACATTTTAAATTTCTAATGCTAAATATTTTTTCCCCAGAAAGATTAAGTTATCTTTATTGATTTTTCCTATAGAGTGCTATGAGATTTGTAACACTGTGGTGTGTTTTATATTTATAGTTTATCATCTCCCTTGACAAGACTCTAATTTCCCTATACAAGTCAATCTTTCAAGTAACATTATATAAGCAGCTGTGAAATTTAAGTTAAATGTTTTCTGTAAACATTTGTCTATTTTAAATGAATAATGACTTTATGAAGTATTCTATCTGAAGGCTGAAGTTATAAATACATCTGTTTTCACTATACAGTTTTAAGAAAGAATGAAATGACTTAAATGTCAATTTTTTTGGTAGTTCATGTTTTCATGATTTTGGGAATTACTGCTTTCTTTTGATATTTGAAGTGTGACATTAAGACTTTAAGATTAATTTTCATTCTTGGCAGTTTGCCTCTATGTCCCATTTAAGGTAAAATATATTCTCATTAACTTTAGATGGGAAATGAGGTTGTATATTGATGGCTGAATTTTGCCATAATAGCTATACCCTATCAATAAAGGCTATAAAGTTTGTATAGCTTACTGTTTATTTTTCTCTTTTTATAAATTTGACCTTGAAATTAGGAAGATAGGGTTTAGAAATCTTTAAGAAGAAATTCATGAGTTTTTGTTCCTTATGCATTATGCCCATATTTCTCTTGGTCTCACGTTTTCAGATTTTTGGATTACATGTTTCTGAGGTGATATCAAGTACATACAAGTATTTTGAAATAATTTCCTATGTTATATAATGCCAATTAAGGGGAAGAGAAATCCAGAGGAGTGTGTTTATATCCTGATTTATTTATCTGGAATTTTTGTTACAGAGAATTAGATGTGTTAAACATTTTTTTGTAATGTCTAAGTCCTTTAATTTTAATTATATGCACTTAATGCTTTCAGTCTTTGAATCCACATCATTATGTATAGGAATGCCAAGTACAGTAAAGTACTTTAATTTTTGAAAAAGAAGTTAAAATTTTCTGTGTGATTAATTCTCCATAAGTAACCTTGAATAAATGGATTTCTTGATTTATGGTAGAAGATATTGGAAATGGTCTTAAAATGTAATGGATTTTGTAAAGCATGTTGAACTCTTTCTATGACACGTGAAGAGGAAGTCACTGATAGATGCAGAGAGTCTTTTGGCTCAGTTGTCAGACAATTTTTGAAGTGGAAGAACATTTATAGTTATTTAATTCCTTTTTTCACCTTCATCCTCTCAAATTTTGAGCTTTTTTGAAAAGTAACTTCTTCATGGCAGAAATGAATATTCTTATGATCAAGTGTAATATACATGTGTTGTTTATTACAAAGAAACTTATAACTTGAATTTCTATATATTTTCTGATTTCATAAAGAAAGTTAAATGAAAGATGTCATTCAATTGCAGAAAATCATTAACCAAGTTATTGGTTTGTGAAAGTCCAACCTTAAATTCTGTTAAATTGGAGTTTCTTAGTGAATGATTCTTTCAGTGTTATATTTAGTAGAAATAAAAAAGTTTGAGTGTATTCCATTTTAGTATGTAGAATTTGAAATACTTATTACCCAGCACATCATAAGGAGCTGAATGGTAGTAGTGCAGTGGGTTTTATTTTCATTTGTTGTTTATTCATTTCACAAATATTTAATGACATTTATTTACATTGCCAGATACTATGCTAGGTTCCAAGGAAGACAACTCTAGCTTTTATTCTATTTTTATAAAGTGTTATGAAAGAAGTAGTCTTTTTGTTCAGTTTTTCAGAGTTACTAGAAAATTTATGACAAATTGTGCTCATTAACCTTAGAACCATAAAGGGTGATGGGTTGATCTATTTGACTATGGTACAGTTATTGTTAACATAGTTTTTTCCAAATGACAGTCTGCTCTAAGTTTCGATGTTAATCACATCTTTTATTACTCTCCTTGGGAATTAACAAGTTGGAGAGGTTATAGCTATAGATATTTTTAAGATTAGAATTATAGACTATTAATCTAATACTAAATAATGAGATTTTGTCTTTTAATATTATTTTAAGTACAATTTTCTTGTTTCATAGTTGCAGGATGGGAATTCATTTTAGTAAAGTAGAATATGTCAAGAGGAAAATTGAAGGATGAATTATGGTTTACATTCCTGGAATTAGGAGGTTATGTCAAGTTGATTGGTTTTTAAGATACCCTGCAGATTAAAAAATTGTTCTACTTAGCTATTAGAAATGGATTGGTATTATTTCTAAATAAGGCTTTTAATATTGATTAGAAATGTAGGAAATGTTTCAAAAATGGACATTGTATTGAATATACTTATTTCTTAAGTAGGTCATTCAAGAAAAAGATGCTCTAGGAATCACTCAGTTTATGATACAGTTAAACTATAATTTTACATAATAAATGATCAGAAATGCTGGCTTTACAAAGTGACATTAACTGAGAAAGACTTTGAACAGTGATTCTGACCCTCATGTAATAGCTAAGTTTGGTATATAAAGGGAAGAAAAAGAAGCACTGGCGTCTCATTTTCTTCCCTCATAGCAGAGTTCATACACTTGCCCAGATCAATTCAGTAGCTCTTTTGCCAAATGACCTTGGTAGCAACCTATTTTATATAAATATGATTTGAAGGTACTTTGCTAATAAAAACATTTCCTTTTCCTTGTATCCTGGCCTAAAAACTTAGTTTTTGGAAATACAGACCGCATTTTGTTTATATATTAGCATTTTATAGTTGTCATTAACAATTATGTTAGGGGAAAATGTATATATAGGACTTTATAATAGAATTTTGTAGATTTGTTCTACTTGGTTAATTTGCTATTGCTTGTGAGCATGATTTCAAGAAAATACTTTGAATGATTTTGGTTTGCAGAAATGTTTTCCTATCAGAGTGAGCTGTTGTAGACTACTCTTTGGAGCAGCTACCCTCTGACTTGATGTGCCTTTTTAAAGTGTTTGTTTTATGGCATAATTTTTAATATAGCTAGGAAGGATTAGTTATCTAGAAAAGGGGATAGCTATAGTGATATCTGTTGGCAATTGAGGTTTAATTGTAATTCTACCCCCCTCCGCCGGCCAAAAACCAAAACCAACTTAGCTCTCTATTATTCTCCTGTTCATAAAAGGTTGAGAAAAGATGCTAGCTCCCTCCCCACCCCCACATAAACCTTGAAGTTAAGCAAATGTATCCTGGCAGGATAACTGCATGCAAGATGTCAATTTTGTAAAGTGATATATTTCAGACAGTGTACAAAATTTGATGGTGGGAAAAATACGCTTTTATAAATGAAACATTTAAGGGACTTTTATTATTTGCTTTCAGTTTAGTGTTGCCTTTTAGGTACACCATTTCAGTTTGGCAGCTACAATAAATGAGGGAAGTTGAAGATGATAATTCAACATTTCAAGATGCTTCTGCTGAAATAAATGTAGACCTATCCAGGTCTTCAATTTAAAGTTTATAGTAATACAGTTTTTTAAAGCCAAGGACCCAGGAAATGGTATGATTTGAATGAGATGATTAGAAGAAATAGAAAAGAATACCTTCAATCCCTTGTTATGTGGGTATTATCTATTGAGAGCCTATGTTGAAAATGTTAGTGTAAAAAGAATAGAGGCTTGTTATGTACGATTTACTGTAGTATGTACAATTCATCTTGGGTCTTGTCCAAAGAGGTTTAGTTATTAAAATAGCAGGAGAGTTATTCTAACAAGGAATCACCTGACTTAGTGCTACAGCCTTGGATTATCATAAACCATATTGTAATGCATATGGCTGATACTGTTTTATTTAGTGACCCTTTCTCTCTTTAATAACACATTCCATGACTTAAAACAAAATCATTTACTACCTTATTTTTGATACTTTTCTAATATCTTCCCTTGAGAAAGAAATCATTATTAAATATTATTTGCTGGGTTTTATGGGTTTTGACATTTTTGAGTTTTAACATTTGTGATTTTGACTATGAGTGACCTTAGAGGTCCATGGGGTATATGGTACTTTGCAATTTTGCCAAGGCATAATTCTAATTACTGCTAAACACCATGCAGAAGGGCATTACTCAGCTAATGTAGGCTAACAAACCTCTTAGCAGCCACAGTTTCTTCCCTCACTTTCAGTCTCATGCATTTATTTACTGACTTGTTCCACAAATATTTATTGAGCCCCTTCCGTGTGCCAGGTTCTATTATAGGCATGGGAAATTCAGTAGTTATCCAAACAGTGTGTAGTGATTGGAAGATGTCAAACTTTATTATGTGCAAATGGTTGCTATGTGTTGAATTGTGTTCTCACCAAAAACATATGTTGAAGTCCTAACTTGCAGTACCTTGTAACTCAGAAATAGGGTCATTGTAGAAGTAGATAGTGAAGATGAAGTCATTAGACTAAGTCCTAATCCAATATGACAGGGGTCCTTATAAAAGGGAAATTTGCACATAGACCTGCATAGGGAGAACATCAGATGGAGATGAAGGCAGAGATCAGGGTGGTGATTGTAGAAGTCCAGGAATGCCAAAGATTGCCTGCAAACCACCAGAAGCTAAGTGAGAGGCACAGAGCAGATTCTCATAGCCCTCAGAAGGACAAACCTTGCCTGTGTTTGTAGTCTCCAGAGTGGAGACCGTACATTTCCATTGTATAAGCCATCCAGGTTGTGGGATGTGTTATGGCAGCCCCAGCAAACGAATACAAGGGCTATTCGATGAATTAAAAAGATTAAAAATTTGAATGTTTATGTGTAAGAAAACTATGACATAAGTTGAAAGTATAATTCTGAAGATTACCAGGAACTTGTATAAATTTATCCAGGAATATTTTTGAATATTGGTGAATTTGAATCTGGGTCAAGGGTCTGTTATACTCATTCAAACTTTCTAGCAGACATTGTCAGTTATGATCGAATGTGCCATCCTTTAAACTTGGTTTGAAGAAACTCATTTCCCTGAAGGAAAGAAAATGCAGTCAGGTTTCCATGGAGAGAATATTTTCACCAATCCTATTATTATCATGTGCTGTGTGGTCTTTTCCCAATATAATGCAGCAGTCAGGTTTAAGTAATGAAAATAAATACTTAAAACATCTTACCAAGTTGTGCTTATCCACGAGCACAAACCACTCATATTGAAATCTCATATTGAATTCAGCTTGATAGAGGTTTTTTTTTTAAGCTCATTTTTTTCCCCCAAAGTCTAAACTGTATAATGTGCTATTCAGTTTTCTTTCCCTAAAGTTAGGTATTAGAAAAGTCAGAGTGGGTTTTATTCTTAGTGATTTGGGTCCAGTTTAATATTGTTAAATAATTTAAATGCTGCTTATTCATTTTAGATTCAACGAGTAGATTAAACATGGAAGACAAGAAGGTAAATAAAACCAAAACTGACAACGTAAAAGTAAAAGCATATAGAATAGAAGTGCATTTGAAACAGGGAAGAATAGAGTGTTCTTATATGGGGAGAAATCCAGACGCCGTACAACACTGATGGGTGAATACGGTTTTATTTCAGTTTTAAAGCTCTATTATTTTCTAATTCTTGCGTTGCAAACTGGAAGG